TCTCCTCCTCTCTCTCTCTCTCTCTCTCTCTCTCTCTCTCTCTCTCTCTCTCTCGATTAATTAAAATCGTGGCACATCTATAACTTTCGACAAGGGACCGGGTTTCAGAATCGCGAACAAAGGCTCGTAAAGCTATCTCTCACCCCTCCCTCCTCCCCTCTCAATGAATCGATGAAATATTACGTCGTTAGACGGGATATAAATTTACATTCAATCTTCACTCGCCATCCTTTTTTCCCTTTGGCGAATCGAGCATTTTTCTTCTTTATTATTATTATTATTATTATTATTATTATTATTATTATTTGGAAAATCGAGTGGCGGGTTCGATGGGTAAAGAAGCGGGGCGTAGAAGATAAGAGTGGCCGGAGAGGATTCGACGTAACGGCGCGTGTGCGCGTAGTAGACCGTTGCCCGATTGCGAAAGAAGGATTGGAAACGAGCGAGAAAGCGGACAGGCAGCGGCCTGCCCGCCCGCCTTGCCCGCCCGCCTGCCTCGACAAGGCAAATCGGCGAGCTTCTAAAACGAACTCGCAATCATTCTGCGACTCTGGCATTTATCGTCGTATCTGTCGATAATCGCGCATTCCGCCTCGTCGACCGCCATAAAGGTGTAGTAGCTGTTCGACTCGCGGGGTGTCGAATCCATACCTGGATCGAAATCGAGGCACGACTCGAAAGAAAAAGAGAGAGAGAGAAGTAAAAACTGTGCCGATGGTTATTTCCGATCGAGCGAAGCTTTCCCTTCCTTTTTTCCCTTCACGATCCATCATCATCTCGCCTCTTCCGAAAGCCAAGAGAGGAGGATTCGATTCAATCGCCTCGAAAATCCCTGAATCCGCCTTCTCCTTCTCTCGTCTCGACGAGAAATGAGAAATTTTCACGTTCGGGACGGAAAAAGAGGGGGGGGGAGGGGGGAAAGATGTGCGAAATGATAATGTAAATTCGAGTTTAAGAGTAGGATATGGAAATTTATTTTCAACTTCTTCGATTATTATTACGAGGGAACAAGAATGATATCTGGTGAGAATTGATATGTAATGTGATTGGAAGAAGCGTGGATGTATCTTCGAAAGCGTATCGAGAAACGCGGAAAGCGATTATTTGGCTTTTTTAAAAAAGGACGGTTGTTATTACTAAATCTTCCAGTTTACATTGTCGAAGGTGAAATTACGCTTTACGAACAGGTTTTTCAACGCAAAAGAAGAATCGGGAACCGCATCCTTTCGTCGTAACGAGACTGCTTACTTTTTATCGTTTTGAAACGTGCTCAAATATCTTCAATCGATATCTTTACGTATTACGTAAGAAGAAGATATTATATCGATTATGTTACGCACGTTGAATCACGCAAAAACTTGTCAATTGTCGATGATGGGAAAATTATTTGCATAAAAATCCGATCATCAACATAGTTGGCTCGTACACACATCCAGTGAAAAGAACCGCTCGTTTCCTCCTGCTATCGGGTGCAAAAATAGAAAGAAAAATCCGAGAAAAGAAACGAGAAAGAAAAAAGAGAAAAGAAAAGCGAGGACGTTCGATGATAACTTAATTTCTGAAATTATAGCGATCGTAACGGATCACGCGATATACAATCTGCGATACGTAATGCTTGCCTCGTATATCGATGCAGAAAAAGGATCGTCGGCAATTAGCTCGGAATTACGATCTGCGCCACTTGTACCGTATTTTCGACTCGCCAACGACATCTATCGGGCAACCGTAATAACAGTCGTTAGGGTGAACTGCGACAACAAACACGGCTTACGGCTTCCTATTCCAACGATTTATCGAGAGCACGTGAAATCGGGACAGAGAGTTAGACGAACGTGTTTTCGGATCGCTCG